AACAAGGAAATGAGTGTTCGCTGATGTGCAACATGATCAGTGATCTTTGACAATAATCAAATTGGGGATTTTTAAAAACTTGATTGATGCAAAACTCTCGGATGAAAATTTTCAAAAAATCCTTGATTTTTTAGGCCAATTTCGTGATAATTAAGCTTTTTGTCAAATTTGATCAGCGTGTTATCGATCTGGCATATTGATTACTGTCAAAAATAACTGATCATATTAGCCTGATGAACACATCAAAAAAATTTCATCCAAGTTTTTGGATTAATGAGAATTTTTAAAAAATCTTTTGTTTTGAAATATAGTTTGCAATATAGCAATATAGTTTTTTTTCCTCTGGTTAATATCGCTCAACTTCAAAAGTTTGGAAAAATTAAAGCGAAATGAAATAAAGCTGCAAAAAACGTTGCAAGAGATTAGCGTAAATTAATTATTTTTCACAATGCAATATGGCAACTGAAATGAAATTATTTAATATAAAGAATTAAACAGTGATTGCTATTTTTACATTTCTATACGTGAACAAAAGCTATCGATACACATGGGTACCCACTTCCAACAAAATTAGCATTTATACATGATCTTCGATTAATAAAAACGGAAGTGATTGGATGGTATACGGTAAAATTTTATTCTAGGTTAACAGAAGATGAATTACATTTCAAACATTTCTCGGCAAACATGACGTTATCACATTGGAAGTATACAATATATTTTTAAAAAAAGTAAAAATTGAGTTGATGGACATTTTTCAATTACTTATCTCGTTATACTTTGGTAAAAATGTCAATTACCTGGAAACAGTCGTGATCTTCTTAGTAGCCAATGGATTCAATAAAATTAATGAAATAATTTTTGCTCATCTTTTTATTAAATGAAATGAAATGATTTAATAAGACACGCAAAAAATATTCACGGATTATTTGCAAAATTTAATTTTACAAACGTTTCAAGTTGACAAATTGTAAAAGTAAAAAAGAACAAAAAGAGTGGAAAAGGAAGAAAAAGAAATGAATATTATTATCATTCCCCACTTCTGCTTCATGTTATTCTTACTACCACCTTTAAATATTTCGTTCAAAATAATACTTTGAAATTTTGTTCAAGTTCAAGCTTCTAATAATAAAAGTTATATGTTTTGATTTATTTTGGATTTTGAAAATATTTTTGATAATGAATAAATCAAATGTCTGATTTCATTTCCAACTTTGCATAAAAGGAAAATAATTTCCAAAAAAACTAGTAGACAATGACAAAAGCTGAAAATTGAAGTCAAAAAAGTTGGAAGTGATGAAATTGATATCATGATAAAATCTTGTTGTAAAATAAATTTTGCATATCGAAGAAATAAATACTACATATACTCTTCATTTTCTGAAATACTTTTTTCGCTTCTTTTTCGTGAAAGCAATGATAAGTGAAGAATAAATGTGCAATCTGATCTAATTTTTGACAGTAACAAATGTATCAGATATATAAAACAATGATCCAAATTGGCAAAGACATCATCTATTGACCAAAATAGCTTAAAATCAAGGACCTGTGTGAATTCTCATATGTCTCTTCATAGTCGATAAGCGTGCAAAATTCTTCCCGCATGTTTCGCATTTGTACGGTTTATCACCTGTGTGAATTCTCGCATGTTCACTCAGGTGCGATAACTGAATAAAATTCTTCCCGCATGTTTCGCATTTGTGCGGTCTATCACCTGTGTGAATTCTCACATGTTGATTCAGTTGCGATGACTGAATAAAATTCTTCCCGCATACTTCGCATTTGTACGGTTTATCACCTGTGTGAATCCTCACATGTTTCTTCATATCCGATGGCTTAGCAAAACCCTTTCCGCATGTTTTGCATTTGAACCGCTTTTCACCTGTGTGAGTCGAACGCTCTGGATGTTTCTTTCTGGTGCCACCTTTGTTTCCTTTGGACTGTTTCCTTCTGATTGTTTGGATGTTGGACGTTTCATTTTGATACCACTCGTTGGATGTTTCATTTCGATACTTCTTAAGCCAGATTTCTTTTGATTTATTCCTGTACCTGTTTGTTCCCTACTCACTTCTTGAATCGGT